TATAAATTCGTAAAATAGTAGTCATAGCTTGAAGAATTAGAATTCCAGTGATCAACTATATGTATTGAAAAGTTATACATAAAGTTTTCTTGAAAATAAGACAGAATTCAATAATTAGTGCTCTCAATATTTCGATCGCTCTAATAATTCCCACCTCCATTAAACAAATGAAAAGTTAGTGACTTAATCCTGTGATCAGAATTAGAGCTTTGTAATGTAATCTAAAGCCCAAAACCAAGATCCCAATTACCTGGACCAAGTCTATTCACACCTCTATCAAAGGTTTTCATTTTTAGAATCGAGTGTAGTATCTAGTATTGTTAGTTGTTTGGTAGTTATTAGCTAATAGTTTAGTAATTTATACACAGAAATTTAATATATAGCATATATATATTAGGGTTAGGGTTAGGTTAGAGTTGGGTTAGGCTAAATAGGGGCATGCCTTTTATCTCAGGGCATGCCCATGGGCATGCCCTTGCCCCCGTGCTCTAAACCCTACTTTGCAAGCATATTTATTAGAATATTTGTATGAACTGAGTTCGGGCATCAATTTTATGTATATGCTCTGAAGTACAGGCTAAGCAGTTGGACCAGGATAACATCCTTATTCTGAAGACTAATTGCTTGTACGAACTAGAGATGTTATCCTGCTCATATAAACTAATCTGTGATATTTATATGAGTTAGATGTAGTGCCTTAAAAATTTTTAATAGTAGAAGACAGTTCTTTTGACAATACAATTGTATTACAACTCTGGTCTGAAACTGGTCCAACCCAAACAGTTTTAATATACAATATAAATTATTTTATAAATTACTAATAGTGTAACAGTAAAAACCACTAATTAGAACACATAAATTACTTGCTCTTTATATTTATCGCTATATAAAGACTTTAATTTTTAATAATCAGAAATAATTAGTTATTTTATATTAGAAATCTCAAGTTTCAGATTCTGTTATAGTATTATAAATCACTTACTCTTTCTATTTATTATCATATAAAGACTTTAATCTTTATTATTAAAAATAATTAGTTATTTTTTTTTAGAAATCTCAAGCTTCGGGTTCTATTATAGTACTAGTAAGTTACTTACTCTTTTTATTTTTTTTATTTTTTTAATGTTAAGATAATCACTTTGGGTCTGGCACATTTTATTAAACTTTGATTCAAATGTCAGAGCAATCTACATGGGCTACACCTAACTTTGTTATATTAATGAGGATACAACTAGCCATATGTACAACTTTTGGTTATCTATTTAAGCAGTTTTGCATATGTAATCTATATGAACTACACTAGCTGCTATATCTATAACCCCTAAAGGGATTATCTATTTAAACTGCTGATCAACTTAGCACTATCAGATATTCTTCTTAAAGAGAAACTGCTGGGAAGGCCTCTTAGGACTTTAAAGTAGACACACACTACTATATAGGAGGTCCTTTATCCTCATAGTAAATCTACTAGAGCGGTCTATGTCCCACACATGTATCATCTAGATTTTTGATAACTTACATCTAGGCCACGGCCAAGTACTTGCAGCTTTTTATTTCCACTACCATTACCTACTCCTTGCCCTTGCAAAGTTCACCCAAACCCCAGCACCCACTTTACAGACTATCAACAGTACTTCGATGCCAACTGTTGATGCTCTAAACTTCCAATCCAGATAGCCCGGAAGGGACCAGTAGACGTCTTCTGGTATTCTGAATGAATCTTTTTTCTTCTAGCTAATCCGGCAGCCTGGTTGGTGTAGTACTTGCTAAACACTCAGTCATTGTTCAGTTTGCCTTCGGTGTTTGGTTCTCTGATAATAATCCTTTATATAGCATCATTGAAGATTTGTGCTACTTCTTTACTCAGAACTTCCCAAGCAGGCTTCTGTATCTCCTGATCTCTTAGATTTATTTGGCTGCTTCATTCGAGTTTTATGTAACTTATACATTACACTACGTTCTACAACCTCCCTATACGAGTTGGAAAGACCAAAGTCACAGATGCTTACCAGAATCCTGGATAATACTAATAGAGGTAGGATTATTAAACTGGACAAAAAATAAAAAATATTTTCAGAGGTTATATTTTTAAAAAGGCTTTTTAGATAAATTAGGTATTGTAAAACCAGATATAGCAAAATAATCTATAGTACTTAAAAAGGATATAAATTTATAAAAAATTAGTACCTAATATTATAAAAGAATCTATATAGTATATTTTTACAAAATAATATTTAGAGCATTGTTTCAAATTTTGGCCTGCATTAAGTTTAGTGCAGGCTAAAATTTTAATTACACACCTAGTTAAATTTGATTGGCTAGATCATTTGTAATAAAAAAATTTCGCAAGATTTTCTAATTTCTATATCATGATTGGCTAGGTAAAATTAGATTAGAAATCATAAAAATTGAATAAAATTCGTTTGATAAAGTTTAACGTATATGAAATTTTTAGTATAAAAGGCATAAAGTTTGTTGAGGTTTTAAAATCAAGTTTTTTATAATCAAACTTCACCAAACTATAAGGTTTCGCTGAAACAAGTTTTTCCAAATCAAGTTGTTTGTCAACCTTTGCTGTAGTAATGTAAAAAATCCCTGTTATAACAAGTTTTGCTGTTGGAAAAATCCAGTAGTAATCCAGTACAAACCTTGTTATGACAAGTTTGCTGTTTAAGCTTAAAATAACCATAGTGCTGTAATCAAGACAAGACTTATTAATGGATCTAGATTCACTACTTATTCTGAATGAATTTTTATAAGCAGATAATATACTAACAGATGTTAAAGATGAATTATTCAATGAATATGAAGTATTCAATGATGATGAAGTATCTAATGATAATAGAGCGCTTAATGATTATAAATCATTCGATAATTATAAAGCATTCGATAATTATGAAATGTTCAATAATTATGAAAATGAAATATTCAGTAATTATGAAATGTCTAATGATTATGAAGAATCTGATAGCTATAAAACAACAGATAATGAATATTCAAGTAACAAATTAGTTGCTTCTAAGGAATCTGCATTTAAAAAAAAATAGATTTGTGGAATAAACTCAAAAACTATTTTAGAAAAGGTATAAAATATAAAAATTTTAAATTAATATATGCAGGCCTTAGCAGTAGAAGAGAATTTATTATATATATAAGTTTTCAATTGTTTTACTACAAAGATTCTATATGCATTATTTAGGGTGAGGAACAGGCTGGCCCGTTCCTTACTCTAGCATTATTTGTATTAATATTAATATATATCTAATTAGTTTTGTATTCTTTAGCAAGCAGAGTTG